GCGTCTCTTGTCGCCGGGCTCCGGGGTGGCATCAGCTTAGGCCACAGTGGCTGGGACCACAGCGAGCGCCGGCGCCGAGCAGAGGTGATTTACTGTACCTGCTGTAGCCCCCGCTGGCCTTTCGGGGACAGGGAGCGTGGAGCCACGGCCTCACTGCGGGCGCTGGGAGCTGAGCTGTGCGGGACGTGCCACTGGCAATGGGAGCGGCAGGCCCTGGCGGTCAGCGTCTCTCCCGGGGGAGATGGGCAGGGCTCTGGGGCGTCACATTTGTGGGCCCCTTGGAAATGGTAGATGGAGCTGAGTCTGTCCAGCCGCTTTGCAGTCGCAGGGTTTCAGACGAGCCCTTCGCCGCCCTCCACAGGCCCTGGGGTCCACGTGCCCGTCCCTTGTGCCCCGCTGTATGTGTCCCAGCACACGCTGTGTGAAACGTGCTGTAATAAAGTTGCCAAGTGACGCCCGCAGACATCAGGAGGCAGCAGGGCCCCTGGCGTGTCTCTCATGGGCCAGTCTTTCCCACTGCACGGCTCGGTGTGTGGTCCCACCCTTGTTCTGGCCCTTCGGCAGACCCTGCGCTGTTCCTGGCGCTCGTGGCTTCACAAGCAGTAATTGCTCCCAGCTGCATGGGGATTGCGGTCCCTGTTCTACAGAAAACAAAGGGAGGGGCAGAGATTGAAGGCTGGTGGCCTCGCACACAGCTCAGCTCCCATTGGCTGCAGCTGCAGCGCTGCGTGCCTGGGGTCCGACCTATGCCCTGGCTAAGGCAGGCGTCCGGCAGAAGCGTGTTTGGGATCCTGCTGTCAGAGACTGGATGTAACTGGGCCACATGGGGCCAGAGGAGGCTGTGCTGGCCTTGAACTTTTCTAAAAACACAAACTTCAGCACCAGCCATGCCCTTGTGTGATCATATTGTTCTCCCTGTGGGGCGGCAGGTTGCAACCCAGAGACCCCTGCTGCTGGGATAACTTAGCAGTAGTAGGTTGTTATCCTCTGTGGACTTGCACTGCAGCTTTGCCGATGGCTTCCACAGCTGTTTGGTGAGAAGGCTGAGATGTGGGACCTGGGTCTTAGGTGTGAAGGGCGTTGTGGTGGGCACGGACTTCTCTGTCCCCTGCCCCAAGAATGACAGTTCTGTAGCCTGTCCCCGCCACCGCCACGGCTGCTTGTCCCATTCAGCCCTGGCCTCCATTCATGAGGCTTCTCGTCCCAGTCCCAGTTTCCCTGCCCGGCACTCCCTTGACTTTCTGCCCCAGTCGTCCCGCATTTCCAGGCTCCTGCCCCAGCTGGTCCCAGTTCCCCCCCAGCTTCTGTCTAATCTGCCCCCCCCAATCGCCTCTGTTGTCCCAGCCTCCCTGCCGATGTGGCCTCAGAAGCCCCACGTCTCTGCCCAGCCGGTCTCCCCCTCCTCCTCAGCCACACTCCATCTCTCCCCACATCTGCTGCCTCCCACTCAGTTTCTCCCCCTCCCCATGAGCCTCCAGTGCCACGTCTGCCACCCTCTCCCCACTCTAGCCCTTATTCCCCACTGCACTTCCTCCTCCATGTGCCCTGGGCAAGTGCGGGCACACGGGCCCCTGCTCCCAGCTCAGACCCAGCATGGCCCCTCCAGGTGCTGCAGCAGCCCCGGTGATGATGGAGCCTGGGGGCAGATTATACCAATGTGGGGTGGGTAGTCCTGGCGCTGGTGGCAAACAGCACATCCCTGACAGCAAGGGCAGCCTCCTGCCCAGTGTCCAGCCCTGCCCCACAGCAGAGGGCTGCTAGTTTCTCCTGGGCACTGCTGCCCAGAGAGTTAACCCAGGCAGAGCACTTAATCCCCCCTGGCCACTTCACGCTCGTGGGAGCCTCTGCCCCGCACTGGGAGGAATCAGAGCTGGTGTGTGATGGAGGAGGTGGCCTCGTGCTTCCGGCAGTAGCAGCGGAGAGCTGGGTCTAGCCCTGCCTTGTGCGGCTGGGCACGTCGCTTAACCCCGCTGTCCCGGGAGAGCACTGTGCGTGCGCCTCACTTGCCAGGTGTCTGAGCTGGCGCCTGTGCTCTCGTTTGCAGACGGGCGGGCCGTGCACAGCTGCAGCCGGAGGCAGTGGGAGCTGGGCTTTGCTGGCAGAAGCGTGGAGCAGTAAGAACTCTGGTATGAGCAGCCAAGAGTAGTGGTGACGTGTCACTGGAATCGCGCGCTTTACGCAGCTGTAAAATGGGGCCAAGGGGGCGGCGCTGATACCTGGACCAGTACCGGGGAATGCTGGGAGCCTCGCACCGCCGGCTCGGGCAGGGAGCTGAGGAGTCTCCCCTGGAGCCTGACAAGATGTGCTCAGCGTTCCCCCCACCATGTGCACGCGCCTGCTCCCGGGGAGGTGCAGCGCCCCAGGCTGCTCCAGCAGAAACAGCTCAGCAGGCGGCGGGGCTGTCCAGTGCTGGGTGCGGCTCCTGCCTGCCCCTCCCCACTCAAATGGGGGGGCTTGTTCCTGAACCCAGCCCTGGCTCCAAGTCTCTCCGGAGCGCAGGAGCAATGCCTGGCACTAAGAGAAGACCCCTGCAGCAGGGCAACGCAATGGCTGCGTGCGAGGAGCCGCCAGCAGCTGCAGGCCCAGGCCCAGCCGGGTGAGCTGCAGGAGATGCTGTCAGCCCGCCCTGCAAGTGGGACTGTTTATTCTGGGAGCGCTGTGCCCGGCCCTGCCGACACCTGTTCCAGCTGTGGGTACCAGGCGTCCCGGGGAGCTAATTACTGCTTTAATGAGCACCAGCTGGGTTAGCCCTGAGCCAGCGGCCCCAGCCTGCTCCTGAGTCAGGGCTACAGCCGGGTGAGCTGCAGGAGATGCTGTCAGCCCGCCCTGCAAGTGGGACTGTTTATTCTGGGAGCGCTGTGCCCGGCCCTGCCGACACCTGTTCCAGCTGTGGGTACCAGGCGTCCCGGGGAGCTAATTACTGCTTTAATGAGCACCAGCTGGGTTAGCCCTGAGCCAGCGGCCCCAGCCTGCTCCTGAGTCAGGGCTAAGGCGGAAACCTCATCCCCAGGTGCTGCAAAACCTCTGCCAGTCAGTGGCCTTGTGCACCAGAGCCAGCCACAGTGGGAGGCAGGGCTCCCGTCCAGCAGCCTGTAACTGACTGGGGGGCATACCAGTTCCAGCCCCGCACTGGGCATGGGAGAGTAACGAAACTTAGCAATTGTCCGAGAGCGGGTGCAGCGCAAGGAAGAGGCTGCAGCACGTCTGGCTTCCACGGTTATTTAATAAGTTGTAAAGACACCAACACATGCGGAGCTACAGACAAGTAAGACAAAGGGCACAGCAAAGCCCTTCAAGGTTCAGCGAGGCACCAGAGCCAGGCCCTGGATCCCAAGCGTTGCCTGGGGAGACCTAGGGGGTCTGTCTGCACCTTGAGCATCTGACTGCAAATGGCCTGGCTCAAGGTGGAGCCAGAATGCCTGGGAGGTGCAGTGGCTGCAGGCCACAGCTGTGTGTAGCCAAGACCTGCACCTACAAGCGGCTCCCTCTCCACGGGTTTCCCCAGCTCCCTGTGTCCAGCAGCTGGTAGCATCTGGGCTCCTCTGGCTTCAGAGGCACCCGGTCTGGCCATGCCTCCTGCACTGTCTGCCTGGGGAAGGTGGCATTCTGGGATTGAGGCTGGGTGGCAGGGGTCCCGCTGGCCTGCTGAGAAGGGGACGCTACCCTGGTGGGGAGATTGCATAGCTACGGGGCCACAATGCAGAGGGACTAGTACATCAGAGATCGGGTCCAGCCACCTTTCTTCCCCCACACCAGCCCCGTCAACATTCACTCAAACACCCCTTGGTACGGTGAGGGTCTGCAAGCCCCCAGCACCTCCCAGCCCGCTCCTCTTCTTTCCAGCTTTCTGCCTGCCCCTCCTAGGCCACCCAGGAGGTCGGTGGGACCCAGCCCAGGGTGCCCTGTGAGGCTGGCCAGGCCCTGCTCCCACCACACTCACGGACGTGTCCATACACCTCCTGCCGGCGAGCAGCTAGTGCCTGTGGGAGGGGGGCTGTGCAGATGACCGGGCATGACACAGGTGCAGAGCAGGGGGCCACGGCTGGCTGGTGCCACGCGGGAGAACACGGACCGGAAGAGCAGGTCCCTTTCCAGCTAGCAGGTCACACCCAGGTCAAGGCCCAGGGTCAGGAGCAAAGGGCACGTGCATGCAGGTAGGCAGCTGTGCCAGTCGCAGCTGGTGCCCGGGCAGCAGCGTGCGCTGTTTGCACGTGTGGCTTTTAGAGTGGCCAACGGCCCTTTCAGTCCCAGCCTGGCTGAGGCAAGAGGCTGTTGCCTTCTGCTGACTGGCTGTTGCAGCTTCCCCCTCTGTGGGCAAACAAAGCACTTCTGCCAGGTTGCCACAAGGGGCCAGGGCTGGCGCTGTGCCAGTCGCAGCTGGTGCCCGGGCAGCAGCGTGCGCTGTTTGCACGTGTGGCTTTTAGAGTGGCCAACGGCCCTTTCAGTCCCAGCCTGGCTGAGGCAAGAGGCTGTTGCCTTCTGCTGACTGGCTGTTGCAGCTTCCCCCTCTGTGGGCAAACAAAGCACTTCTGCCAGGTTGCCACAAGGGGCCAGGGCTGGCCTTAGCGAACAGGTGCTCTAGTGGGTGACAAACTGCACAGAGACAGCTCTGTGGGGCGCTGGGGTCTCTGACGGGAACAATCACAGCTCACGAGAGTATAAAACGGCCAGCCCCGCTTTGTGTGGCTGCCGCTGGCCCACGGCGTGTCAGGGCCAGCCTAGCGCGCTGGGTGGAGGGGCCCAGCCAATCCAGCGCTGCAGCCAGAAGGCTGCTGGAGGTCAAGGCGGCGGCAGAGCGAGCTCGGGGAAGGCGGGCGGCTCCCGGGCGTGGCGATGTGGAGAACGACCTCGTGAGCGCGCACGGATGCAGGTGGGGGTGGCTGCCGAGAAGCAGGCTAGCAGAGAGCGGAGGCGTCCTCAGTCCTTCAGATTGGCTTCCGAGACCCCCTGGGCCATTAGCTCTGCCAGGACGTTGTCCAGGTAATTGGGGTCGGGGTAGCCGTGGCCGGTGAGGTTGGATCCAAATTCTGTCTTGTGGTGGATCTCGTTCCACACCACAGTGTCGCACTCTCCCGTCGTGCTGGACGTGCCGATGGTGAAGATGAGCCGGCGATCCCATGCCACAATCAGGAGTCTCAGAACCTGGGGGGCACAGGGAGGTCACACACCCTGCCAGGCCATGGGCCTGAGACCCTGCCTGCTCTGCCAGCAGCTCTTTGTTCCATGTTCTACGCCTCCGTCCCACAACACTGTGGGGAGCGTCTCTGGAGCACTGCCCTGACTTCCCCAGGGCAGTCCCCCAGTGCAGGAGAGGCCGCTCCGCCCCGTCATGGCAGGCCTGGCAGAAGCAAGGTCTCTTTCTCCAGGGAACGAGCGAGACTGAAGCTTGCTCTGATCAGGGCTCTGTCCCATGCCCCAGGACACAGACCCCCAAGTGCAGGCCTGGTATGAAGTTCTTCCTTTCCCCCAAGCATGGAAATACAAGCCCTGCCTCGCCTCCCTTTCCCCCAGCAGAGAGGCGGAGACGGCGGCCATCGACCACGGCCCGTGAGCTGCATGGAAATGCGTGGCCCTGCCCTATGTGGTAGCTGACTCAGGCTGAGCCTTAGCAGCATGGCACCCAAAGCCCTGCGAGGTCTGGACCTCAGTGCCTGGCAGGATCAGCTGGGGCACTTGCAGGACTGGATTATCAGGGGAGCCACGGGGAGAGCGACCACCCCAGCATTTGTGCACACAACTCCCGTCTGCTCCTTTGAAAGCAGAGCTGGGTTGCCAAGGGTGTGTCCCTGTGCCTGCGGCCTGGCCTGGCACGGCCCCTCGTCTGATGTGCAGCAAGCCCATAACCCCTTGGCTCAAGGGGGCGACACCCCCACTCGTGGGAGGCAGCCGGCTCACCTTCCTGCCCTTCTCGTTGTCGGGTAGGTAGCAGTGCCGGGGGAAGCCTCGGGCCGTGAACTTCTTCCCTGGAGTCGGGTGCTCTGGGCCCTGAGGGAACAAAGCAGGCGCTGGGGAACCCTCAGCCTGAAGCCCAGGAGCCGCAGGCAGCAGGGGTCCGAGCGGGAGCCTGCCCGGCAGGGCGCAGCACAAAGCGCCTGGGGGCTAGCGAGCCCTGCGCCAAGCGCTCTGGGCTTCCTCTGCCCAGCTCTGCAGGCCACCCCATCGGGTGCCCCGTGGCTGGGGGCAGTGGTGTGAGGAGCCACGGGAGGGGCACAAGCCAAGTCTCCTGGGGACAGGGCAAGTTCCTCTCGCTGCGCTGCCTCGGGGCTGCTCACCTGGATCCCCGTGGGGATGTCGTAGACGATGCGGATGGTTTTGGACTCCGTGTAGCCTGGCAGCGAGTGAGGGATGAGGTGGAACTCCATCTTCCCGGGGGGCTGGGTCCCCGTCTTCTCCCCGTAGATGGCCTTGCAGGTGGGGCACTGCAGACTGCCGTCCTTGGGGGCAAAGGCACAGGCCAGGAGGGTCAGCCAGCCAGATCCCAGGGGCCCCCTTGCAGTGGGGGCTGCCTGGATCCGTGATGCCACCTGAGCCCAGCTATGGGGCAAGCCTCCGAAGCCCCGGAGGGGCACCAAGGCTGGAGCGCCTGAGTGATTGGGGTGAAGGCTCCAGGGTGGGGAGGGGCCCCTGGAGAGCACTGCCCAGGGCACACGGGGCTCATCCCCAGCCGGCCCGGGGCTCACCTTGTTGCCGTTGTTGTACATGGCCACGAGGCAGAGGAGATGGTACATGTGCCCGCACTTGCCCAGCTTGCCCACCAGCTCCGGCTTGGCACCCCTGTGGCTGAGCAAGCCCTCGTAGCCCGACGAGGTCACCAGCCTCTCCATGCAGATGGTGCAGTCCTGCCGGGGAGCAAGGGGTTAATGCCGGCTCCTGCCTCACCACAAGCCCAGCAGCGGGTTCCAGCATTGCCCCTCGGGCCCGCCCCGGCCCCGCTAGGCTGGCATCCGAGGGCAGAGTTAAGGGGGCTGAGGGGAGGGGTGTGCTGGGTCCTTGCTGCAGGAGTGCTGTCACTGAGTTCCCAAGGGAGTTCCCTGGGCTGCCACTTGGAGGGGGCTACTCGTCCATGCAGAGCCGGGGCTGGGCCACAGCAGGTGCTCACCTCGTCAGGCGGGCTCTTCACCTTCTGGCTGTACCGGCGCACTACGTCCTCGGGGTTCTTGCCTGCGCCGGGAGAGAAACGGAGGGTGGGCGGGGTCCCCCAGCCTCTTGCTTCACCGCTGAGCCACATGTGGGGGGCAGGCTCCTATGGACCCAGAACCCAGCCTGGCCAGAGTGGCTCTCTGGGTCAGGCCTGTAGGAGGTTAGACCCACCCCAGAGAGGTCACAGAGGCCTCGGCTGGCCCCTTCCTGGAGCAAACGAGCTGCCCCTGGGACCGGCTCTGCTGCTCCCGCTCTCTGGGGCTGGGATCGGCAGGGCTGGGCTCGCCTGGAGAGCCGAGTTCCAAAACACCGTGGAGCTCTTGGGCTGGGCACATGGGGAGAGGCAAGGGCCGCCCAGCTGCAGCCGGTGTTTCTGCACACGCCCCCCCCCGGTGCATACAGCAGGTGTTTCCATGCATGGCTGGGGAAAGCAACAGGGAGCCTGGCCGCTACAGGAAACCCGATGGGAAGCTGCCCGAGGCTGCTCTGTGCCTGGCTGGGGGCTTCAGGCTCCCAGCTAGAGCCCAGCTCTGGGGCTGCCAGTGCAGGGGCCAGGCCTTCTGGCTCTCTGGGCCGGGGAGGGAGGTGCTGCCTCTTACTCTTCTTCAGGTGCTTCTTCTTGGTTTTTCTGCAGATGCCGTTGATCCCTGGTACCGGCCTGATGTCACCCTTGCTCACAGGCGGCGGGTGCAGGATGGGCTTTGGGGCCCGGGTCAGGCACACGGGCAGCCCGGCAGCGCACATCAGAATGCCAGTCATGCCTGCGAGAGCACGCGAGGCGAAAGGGAAGGAGGCGCAGACACAGCCCGCCGAGGGGCCCGGCGGCTAGCGCCCCCCTGACGGGCAGCAAGCCCACGGCAAGGACTGTCCCTTCGCTTTGGAGTGGCCGACCGTCCCTCCCCCTCCGCCTTTCCATCCAGCCATTCCTCCCTCCTCTTTCCATCCAGCCATTCCTCCCTCCTCTTTCCATCCAGCCATTCCTCCCTCCTCTTTCCATCCAGCCATTCCTCCCTCCTCTTTCCATCCAGCCATTCCTCCCTCCTCTTTCCATCCAGCCATTCCTCCCTCCTCTTTCCATCCAGCCATTCCTCCCTCCTCTTTCCATCCAGCCATTCCTCCCTCCTCTTTCCATCCAGCCATTCCTCCCTCCTCTTTCCATCCAGCCATTCCTCCCTCCTCTTTCCATCCAGCCATTCCTCCCTCCTCTTTCCATCCAGCCATTCCTCCCTCCTCTTTCCATCCAGCCATTCCTCCCTCCTCTTTCCATCCAGCCATTCCTCCCTCCTCTTTCCATCCAGCCATTCCTCCCTCCTCTTTCCATCCAGCCATTCCTCCCTCCTCTTTCCATCCAGCCATTCCTCCCTCCTCTTTCCATCCAGCCATTCCTCCCCTCCCAGCCATTCCTCCCCCTCCCAGCCATTCCTCCCCTCCCAGCCATTCCTCCCTCCTCTTTCCACCCAGCCATTCCTCCCTCCCCTTTCCACCCAGCCATTCCTCCCTCCCCTTTCCATCCTCTGAAACAACCCACTCCTCCTGCAACTGAATTAAAGAAAGAATGAGAATAATGTACTTTGTGATCTTAAAAGAACAGTCTATCAGTTGATTAAATCACTATCTTACAAGGGTCTAGGAATTATTAGCTCTAAAAACTGTCCCTCCAGCATCAGCACTCACCATGGTAAGTTCTAGGGATATGAATGGTTAAAGGGTGGGGCTGAAGGGCCCCTGCCTGCCTCCCCTTCAATCAATGTACCCGTCACACAGCACGTTCAACCGGTGACCAGTGACACAGGAGGCTACATGCCCAGCAAGTCCCCTCTCAGGAGGCAGGTTCTACCCCGGAGTGGAGGCTGCCCAGAGTTGGGGGACAGGATGGACTGGCCCACTTCCATTCAGGTTCTTCACTGGGAGGGCAGGGACCCTGGAGCCGGGCCAAGGGAAGAGAAGCAGACAGACATGTCGTTACTGTCCGCCCTGCTCTTGGCCCCCACTGGGCCTTGTTCCTCCCCAGAGCAATGTGCCTTTCCACAGGGAACCAGGCCAGGGTCCAGACTCCAGCACTCCTGCGAACGGAGCACTGCTCGCAGCCGGCCTGCCACAGCCCTGGCACGTTACTGGATTTTGAGGGGAGCAGACAGATCACGTCTGTGCCCATGGGGGGGTGTTTGCCCCAAAAGTGGTACAAAGGGGCCATGGGAGGGGTCAAACAAAAGCCCACTGTCTACTGATTCTGTATCTGCTCTTCATCCGGACGCCAGCACTCCTGCGAACGGAGCACTGCTCGCAGCCGGCCTGCCACAGCCCTGGCACGTTACTGGATTTTGAGGGGAGCAGACAGATCACGTCTGTGCCCATGGGGGGGTGTTTGCCCCAAAAGTGGTACAAAGGGGCCATGGGAGGGGTCAAACAAAAGCCCACTGTCTACTGATTCTGTATCTGCTCTTCATATGCCTGTATAATGTCTGTGTGGAAGTTACACTTGTGCTCTGTATGGATACTGGCCGTTTCTCTATAGGCGAGAAAAGCTCAGCATATGGACATGCTAATTAGCAAGCCACCAGGGACAACAGGTCTCTTAAGTACCAGAGACCCACCTGGGAAGGAATCTAGGTGCCTGGCCACTGACCATGGGACTGTCTCCAGCTTGGAAGAGACCAGGGAGGGATATAAATAGGCCATGTGGCCAACTCCATCTTGGTGTTCAGCTCAGCTCTTGCTCCTAGAGGCAGCCTTGCAAGGAACCACGAGCCGGAAAGTACTGCGGACCCATCCTGACATAGGATGTAACCAGAAACTTTTAAACCAGCAGCTGTAACATCTGTGCCAGAGCCTGCGTCGAGAACTGGGAGATTCGGTGCATGTAACGTACTATCCTTTAACAGCCTCACTCTCAGGCTTTGCTTTCTTGTGGTAATAAACCTTTAGATGTTAGATGCTAAAGGATTGGCTCAGCATGGTTTGTGGGAAAGATCCAGAGTATAAATTGACCGGGGATCTGTGGCTGGTTTCGTGGGACTGGACAGAATCCGTTCGGGGTAGGTGGGATTGGGTTCTATATCCCCTCACCTGTGGGCAGGCCTGGGGCTGTTTGGGGCATGGAAAGAGCTGGGATGTCAGAGGGGTTTTGCTCATGAGGCTTCTGGCTGGCCAGGCTGGCAGCTGGAGCGCTCGGTGTGGCTGGTTTGTGGCCTGTTTGGGAAGGTCTCCAGTCTGGGGCTGTAAGGAGCCCTGAGTGTGAGCAATTCGCCCTGAGCAATGCCCAGACCCGGCCCGGTCCTGCTCCCCCAGGGCCAGGGCAGGCAAGAGGGCCGTAGCTGTACCTGGCGGGAGGACCCAGGGGGCGCAGGTAAAAGCCTGGCCCGTCCTGGCCCGGGGGGGCACCCGTCCCATGGACTCGGTGCGCGTGGCCAGGAGCTCTCAGGCAGGACAGGGCGCAGCGCTAGGAGCAGAGTCCAGGAGACCTCTGGACTGGCTCAGGGCAGCGCCCCAGGGCTTGCCTCTGCCTGCCAAGCAGCCTTGTGCTCTCCACTGCAGCGGGGGCTGCAACGAAGCAGGGCCGGGGGGGCTTTGGCAGGAGCAG